CGTTTTACACAATAAATACAGTGAAAACTGTATTTATTATTTATTAGATGTGCCATTATCATATTGTTTGCATGAATTTAGAGTTGCTGGAACAAGGCTAAACAAAACTAAGCAAGTAGATTTCAGATCAAACGGAACCACTTGTTGCATGGTGAACCTTCCCACCAGATCTGCTGGGAGGAAAGGATTCAGATACCACTGGGATGGCCAACACTTCCAAAGATCTGCTAATGATACAGATTTCTGCAAGTTCTAAAAGTTCTTGTATCCTCTGATTGCAAAGAACACTGAAGAGATGTCTATTTTAAATCCTGTGAAGTCAATTAGGTCCTTGATTAAAATATTAATCTTTTTGTCCAGCATTACTGAGTCATACCTTTAACCTGTATGACAGTATACCATAAAAACACTCACGGGGAAAAAATACTGTTACTTTCTCAGGCAACATCTGAAAAACATACAAAACTCACCTATGTCTCAAACGTAATGCCTGTTTCACACTGGACAACCTCCTCCTTAATTTTTGTAAACTGATTACCCAGCAGCATGACTGCATTGTCCCTACCAAATCTGAGTCTTTCTTCAGTGCATTTAATATCCTATTTCCATTTAAAAGTGCCTTGGGCTCCAGTGTGAGTTCCCTGCTTGCTACTAGCCCAAAGGCAGAACTGCCCTGACCTGAACTGGTTGACTTTTCCCTCTGGGTTACTTATAATGCTCCAAGGAAAATACAACATTCTGGTCTTTATAGATAAATAGATTTAAAAAAACCCACATAAACTTTACTCAGACACCCCAGTGAACCCAGAATATCTGTGCTGAGACACCTGATCCACGCTGGCAAGAAGCCTGGCAGAGTGGCATGTCTGTCAGCCTCTCTGCATGGCACATCCAAATTAGCATGCCATCTCCAAGGGTTCTGAATTCCATATCCTCTCCTGTAGCAGCCAGTGACCCTTTCTAAATGGGGTTGATTGGTGTTATTAGGAGATAACATCTGCCTGGTGCAACATATTGATGTGAGGTGAGAGCAGCAGCTTTGATATAACTCAGAGGAAGCTGTATCAGGCAGCAGCTGAAGGCCCGTGTTGCGTGCAATCAAAGAGGATGATCGACAAACTAAATTAAATAGAAGCATTTGCCCTTTCTCTTTTACATCCAAACCAAAGATAGAGAGACTCACAAAAATTAGTAAAATTGCAGTGTCCTACCTGTCTAGCCTTATTTACAAAACACCTGTGTTTTGGTTTTGCATTTCTTTTTTTCCAGAGATATCTGCTCATTAACATTTGCTGGAAGGGAAAGAAAACAAAGTGCAATAAAAACACGGCAAAAATCAGAACAGAGAGTTGGAAGAAAAAAACCCCAAACAATCCATTTTCTGAAACAATTCTGAATTTCCCTCAATTCAGGAGACTGGATCTTGATTTTTTTAATAGTTATGTACTGTAAAATGTATAATCCTCTTTGCTTTCACAGCATCAGCAGAATCACAGTTTGGATGTTTCCAACCTTGTAAGTGACGACTTCACTTCTAGATCAGGTTGGAAAACCCTTTAGGAGAATCTTACTGAGATTGTTACAGATTCTACAACTGAGAGTCACTGTAAAGGTGAATTTTTCAGCAACATTTAAGGTGACACTGTTTGTCTGAGTATATGTAAATCACAAATATGTGTGCATGTCTGTATATGGGCCCTTTAGGTACAAAAATGGAGCTGCTGTGCAAACTGACTGACTCTGAAAGTATCAGCTGAATTGTTAACACACTCTGGCACATCTCCCAGTTGCTGCATTACAGAAAACCAGTTTTATGCACGTTCTGATCTACTAGGCTGATGACGGATTCATAGGCAGAAATGCCCATGTGTGTGGTGAGACACATGGAAAGAAATGTTTGTACAATTTTCAGCAGGCCTTTAGAGCTCAGAGACCCAGCAAACTTAACACCAGCCAATGTCTGTCTAGTTCATTTGAAGTAAAGATGTACAATGCTCGAATTTTACCATCAAGAGAACTGCCCCCCCGAATCACGTTTTTCTGATAAGAAAACATAAAACACTCTGCAGCTGGAACCTGCAGTTGGGTGGGTAAGAAATATTCTGCAGAGCAGCTTTCACTAAGCTGGGACAGGACTTGAAAAAAGCATATGGATACTAAAAATCCAGGATTAAATCTGCAACTTCGCCACACTCATTGCAGGGGTACAGGATTCTCGTATCAAGGCTGGCAGAATTGAAATACCCTGGATTCTGGAGAGAATGAAGAAATCTGTGTTGTAAGGACCTTCTGCACTTCAATCCGCTTCCCCAAAACTTTCAGCCTACTGACTGGCATAGAATCATTGAATCATTTAGGTTGGAAAAGACCTCTAAGATCATTGAATCCAACCATTAAACCAGTAAAATTCCTTCTGCAGAATTGCTAGGGGCTCTGTCTCCAGGATCTATTCTGCTGTACTGATCCTGTCACCCCATGTGACAACTCACCCATGGAATAACCTCCCAAAGAAATACACTTCTCTTACTTCCTTGAGTCCAGTAGAGTTTAGTCTTTTAACCAAAGATTTATCCAACTGGTAGATACCCCTGTCCTTGAAGGAATGCACCTAAAGTCAGAGCAAATAATAGCCCTAGAGTCATGACTGGCTTTTGGAATCTTTTGGTCTCCTCCAGATCCAGCTCAAAAGTGCTTTATTCTTTTTTGAGACTCCTCCCAGTTAAACCCTTCATTACAGTGTAATTTAAGATGATCATACTTTTTCTCCACTACCGCCCCCCCCGCCCAGATGTTTTAAGAATGCCATTAGCTAAAAATATGCTTCTGGTGTATTTTGTGATCTTAACAGTAAGGGAATGCAAGACAAATTGCATTTTTGTAATTATGCTTTAAAAGATTACTTATGCACATATCTGAGGTCTAATTTTAGCAACTTGCAGAATTTCTAAAGGAATTCTAGTACAGTAAAAAACAATTGGCATGATCAAGAGACAGCAACCCATATCACCTAAATGTCCTTAAATAAAAAAAGGGCTATGCATAAAGGCAGGAAACAGACTAGAAAACTGCTTAAGCAGTCTGTGGATTGTATTAAACAGAGCTGCCAGTGCCAGAAATGCATTGACTTCGCCACATCCCAGGTACTGTGGGTTCCAAAACAAAATCAAAACCCACCCTGCATCACAGTGCAAAGGCAGTCAAGGCCCAGGGGGAAAACACTGCAAAGCAGGAGGCCAATGCAGAGAAACGGCTTTCACTGATCCCAGACATTCCATTCTGTGGAGTGTTCCCAGGTGATTTCTAACTGCTATAGTGATGAACAGGCTGAAAGGCAACATCTCTTCTAAGAAACAGAAGAAAAGAGAGCAACTAAACAAGACTGCTCAAGTCGCTGATCCAAATACCCAGAAAATGTTAACTATAACAGTAGCAAATTGAATGGACATAAAATGCAGGTTTCAGAGCTGAAGTCAATGCCTGAATGAGAAACAGCTCATGAGAAGATGTCTCAGCTGGGTGGATTCACCTCTGTCTGCCTAGCGCAGAGTTAGACAGCCCTTCAGAGCATTTGGAGAAGTAGTGACTGGTGTCTGGAAAACAGTCTGTTCTCACATTTTTATGCCTCTCACTAAAGCTGATCTGTGATCTGAGGACAAGAGATACAGCCTCTGTAGTGTAAAACACTGCAATGACATAGACCACCAGGAGCATGCCTACTTAGAACAATGTTACCTTGTTTGCAATTTAAGGAACACAGAAGTGTAGGTATTTTGGGGATGGGGCATCAATAGGGAAGAAATGGGAGAAGACTTACTGCAACCATGAATGTTTTCAGTACAAAGCCTCCTGATAGTGAACTCATGGAGCACAATAACAGAAATTTCAGGATCTAGTCTTTCTCTTCACTGGCAAACATTGCTCCTAAAAAAATTACACCTAACCAAATGCCAGAGAAGAGTCTGGATTCTTCTCATCTTTAAGATAAATGGAAGTCTAAATGAGAAGTAAGTGGTAGACTAGTGCAGCAATGACAAAAGCTCTGATCCAACAGTCAGGGCACACTGCTGTGCTCATGCAGTGAGTTTAATAAGTCTCCACAGACGGAGAGCATCATCATGGCCAGTCTTCGCGAACGAAGATTTGGGAAAGGTCTTTACCCTTTGAGCCTGCGCAGTGGATGTTTTAGGTGAGACACAGTGTGTGCTGAACTGAGCCCACCCTTTAATCCTGAGGTTCATCTGCCGGGGCCGAGCGGTGGCAGCGAGGTCCTCAGGACGTAGGTTTGTTTGAGTGACCTTCTCTTAGATGGATGGCCTTAAAGGGCTGACGAGCTCCATCTGCCCGGAGGGGTTCCCTGACCGGGAATCGAACCCCGGCCACGGCGGTGAGAGCGCCACATCCTAACCACTAGACCACCAGGGGTCCCCAATAGAAGGAGAGCAGTCCTTTTACATACTATCAACTACGACACCAGGACTTAATTCTGTATTCAGCTCCACACCCCCATCATGTTGGCAATAATTCAGAGTTGGTGAGACAACTTGTAAAGGGCGGAAAAAAAACCAAAAAAAAAGCTATGTTTTAAACCACTGTAATTTAATGTTAGCTTTTTATGCGTCTAACATCAAAGCCTTTTTTCACTTCTATTTAATCAAAATCAATCACTAAGATTACTAAAGGAATTTATGTTGGAGATTATTGAAATGAGTGTTTTATTAAAATCCGGTTTTATTAATAAAACACATTCTGGTTAAGGAATTGTGTGAGTCTGCTATTAGAGACTATTAACTGGGAACTGGGAGTTAGTCATAACAGTCATGCTGCCAGGTTCTTTGACAGAAACACATACTGGGTTTGTTTCTGTTTTTACTTTTATAAGAATATTCAAGTCAATTAGTTACCCTTGCACACTAACAGTCAGGTTAAATTCTGCAAAGTAAAGAAAGGAAACAAAAGTACATAGTTTTGAACAGAAAAAGGGTGATCAGAAAGAGACTCACCAGCCTGATTAGTGGTGACGCTGACAGCAGCATATTGTCTGGAAAGTGTACTCAAGTCAGACACCCCGTTGACTGCATCAATCTCAAAGGTGTAATTGGTGTGTGCCAAAAGGTCCACCACCGTCACCGTGGTGTTGGTGAGCCCAGTCTGACGGGGCAAGAATCTCACATTGTCGCTGCAGGGCTCGCACATCTTGGTGTTCCCTCCACATTTTTTGCAAATGATGTTGAAGGTGACATCTTTCCGACCTCCAGTGTCCAGGGGCCAGCTCCAGTCCAGGATAACAGATGTCTCATTGATGTTGGAGATCACATTTCTTGGAGCAGACGGTGGTCCTGTAAAAGGAAATCAGAGGAAGAAGTTTTTCTCTCTGAGAATGCTGTAAAATGAGAGTAACAAGGGCACAAAAAAAAGTAAAAAGCATAAATAACCAAACTCTTCCAGTTAGAGACTCCTGAAATATTTCACTAGACTACAGACCTAGACTATTAAGGATTATGTTTTCTTATAACCTCAGGGTGCAGTTGAGGATTGAGGGCTGCAGGTAGCAATTTAAAAACCCTAGCTCTCCACCTCGATGTGAGAAGACGCGAGGAAGTGGATGGCTGACTGCAATGGGACATGGGAGGAAGCAAGCAAGCTGTTGTTGAGGTACAGATGGAGGAGCAGGAATGACAGCCCGGAGCACAATGATGCTACTCACTGGTGCAAGCCATGGATGGAGGGTCTTTCTCAGAGCGAAAGTAATTCTTTTCACACCTGCAGTTCAGAGATGCATCTTCATAGGTAGAGCTGTGGGGAGGGCATTTGGCACACTTCACATTGCCAGCAGAGGCTTTGTAGAACCCAGGTCGACAAGCTGCAAAATAACAGGAGTGTAGTTTTTAAATTCCATGGACATCCTGACTTTAACGTGTGACCACTGCCCTGGAGCATATCCATATGTAGATCAGTTTGCAGACATTTATGGTCTAAAATTACAGATTTTTGTCATAATGAGAGCTGATGGAAATAAAACCTCTTGGTAAAATGTAGGTCTTCATGCATTGGCTTGGATGTGGTATTTAATTTTGCCTGGAAAACAGACCAGTGCATTGCACCACTAAGAAGAAACATTTTCTATTATTCATTTTGAGAACTTCACTTATTTTTCTTCTCTTCTGGCTAATTTACCAAAGCCTTGGCTCCATCTTGTATAAGAAGCTAACTTTATCCTCTCTCTACTGCCAAGGGTTACTTAAAAGGGCACACTAATTGTAAATTATGTCTCTTCAGTTCATCAGGACTAAGAAGGCAAAATCAAGAAAATAACCTGAACAGTAAAAGATCTATTCCATTTCTGAAGGATCATGCATCAGGCTTAATGAGCTGCTTCTGATACTATCAAGAATTTGCATAAGGAGAATACTTTTTACATTAACCCAGTCCTCTAGGGATGGTGCTTAACCCACAGAAGCTGCTTCTGAAAAACTCTGGGGAGTGGTGTTTTATTTACATTTGTACACTCCCTCTGTTTTGACTCCTGTTGTATTTTAGACTGACTCAGGGTCATGTTCGCATCAGAAGTAAGTTATAGAAAGGAACAGTTTAGGAAATAGCTTTTTACGGAAAACCTATGTAGTGAAATAAAAGTGTTGACTTTCCACCAATATGATGTCACCATTTGAAAACAATAAACATTTTTAAAAAGAGATGAAAATCAGGAATCAGCAGACTCTGCTGTTCAGCTGCTGCCTTCCCCTGAGACGAGCATCCATCTCCAAATGGAATTTCTGAAGCAAAATATTCTGCCTGACACTGGTCACCCACAGGTCTGCGCTCATACCTACAAAAACCACACACTAAAAAAAGGACCACATCTTAGAGCTACACCTTTTGCTACACTTTGGTTCCTCAGCAAACACTGCTTAACACACAAGCATGTCAGGAAAACCCCAGTATATTGTCATTACAAATATAATGTTAAAAAGAAGAGTAATACAAAGAAAAACATGACTTCTTTCTGCGTCTGGGCCCTAGACAGTTAAACTTAGGTACCTGTCACTGAATTAAATGCTAATTTGAAGCCAAAACAATGGGTTTACCCGTCCTATGTAACACAGTTTGCAATTTTGCTTATGGAGATGAACTGATTCATTAACACGGCATAAAATCTGATATACAAGATTATGTGGTCATGCACTGCCAAAACAGCAAAGTCTTTGGATGGGCAAAAAGTCTGAATAAAAATATCAGCATCTTTGTAAATGATGGAAGAGACAGGGAAGCTGCAGCATTATACTGGATGTTCAGCTTTCACATTATTGTCCGTTACCAAAACCCAACTGAATAACTGGGTAAGGCAAATTTGTTGGCTGGTTCCGAGTGCCAAACACCTGAGTGAAATGCACAGACAAGTAGTGAGGAACTACTCTGTCCTGCTCTGAAACATCTTAATAAAGGAAACCCTCCTACCCCTGCACTGAACACAGCATGAGAAGCATGAAGTGTGTCACAAGGAAGCATTAATCTCAGCCACTCTTCAGCACTTCACAGCCCTGCCTGCAGCTGCTCCCTCTGACTTCCATGCTGGCAAAGCAGCTGGGAAAGACACCTCTTGCTCCAAACTTCTCTCCTGCAAGCCCTGAGGAAACAATCCTGAGTTCGAGTCTCTGAGGCATGGGCCCAACAGGCAATCTGTGAAAGTAGAATTGCCAAAAATGACCTTGTGGGGAAGTTCCCAGGGCCCAACGCCAACCTGCCCAACCTGGCACAGCCTGTCCACCTTCAGCTGGAATTTCTGGTGTTTCACTCTCCTCGAAGGCTGCAAAGGTGTTTGAGGAAATTAAAGAAATTAAGCCAAATTAAGGAAACCTAAGCCCTTCTTACACCCCTCCGCTAGGAGGAAATGCAGCAGGAAACAACTGGCTTTTTTTTGTTTTCCTGTTATTTTTGCAGCCTTTTATGACTCAAATCCTATTTCCTCCCAAATACTGGCCCATGATGTACCTTGAGCAAGCCTCTTTGGTGTCCCTCTGGCTGACAGAAGAATCTGCAATGATTTTACTTTGTTCCCAGCCCGAAGACAATGAGCCTGATAGAAAAGAATGGATTCCAATCCTGTTCTTTCCAACACTCATAACTAAGCAAACTCATTAAGGAATAAACACCACAGTACATCTGCCCAGCTAACTACACAGCACTTTCTCCAAAACTCATCGAAACTTACTGCCAGGCATCAAACTCCACTGGTTTTGCCTCTACTCAGCTTGAAGGGACACTTTTACATTTATGGGCAGGCATACACAAGGCAAAGATGTATTTAAGGATATATACAACAGAATTTTTTTACTAATTGTATATACTAGTTTAATATAACAATTGGAAGAAAACTAATAACATAAAACTGAACATTTGTCATGTGGTTGGTCTTCCTACATAAGTGTTCAGTTAGCTGACAGAACTACAGTAAGACTGTGTATTTGGGACACTTTCAAAGCACCTGCCACCAGCATTTTAACACAGCAACAAACTGAACATAAGTAAACAAGCTTACATAAGAAGTGGACAGATTCTGTGGAGAACAGAAAGGTATGAATCAAATTGCTGCATTAATCAATGTCTCTTTCATCCCTCTGGTGAAAACCCACAGATTTCATCGAAGAAAAGGTGCCGGTGGTGTGGGGCCAGGGAAAAAGCAAGAAGAAAGAGGTGCATGCAGGAAGCACCCTGATAACATGACACCAGGTCTTTTCTTTTCCAGACGGACAGGGATTTCATAGTTTTGCACTTCTGCTATTGCAGTATTAAGAGATCAGTCAGGGTGAGGGCATGAGCAGGTCAGACTCCTGCTGTCCCAGTATGCCCCAGTAAGGGCATACCAATCTCATGTCTTCCCCTCTGGCTGTCTTGTACTTTCTGTCTTTGTCTATCAGACCAATTTAAGATTATTCACAACTGCAACCCAAAGGAGAAAAAAAATAATACAATCATACTTGAAACCAAAGCATGGAAAGGGAGGTGCCAGTGAAAAATGTCGTTGATGTACTTACTATAATTATTCTTTTCCTAGTAATTTTTTTAATTCTGATACATGAGACAGAAAAAATAAAGCTGTTACTTCAAAATGCATTCATTTCTCTGTCAGAGAAATTGGATTACACATACTAATGGAAGAAAGTTTGGTTTTTTGAGGTGAGTATCATGGCTTTGGTTTCAGTCAGGTTGAAAATAGCACAGGAAGTAGCATAGGAACTCTTCACAGAGTCTGTAATTTCTGCACAGAAACCAGCTGTGAACAGCAGTTAGTTTTTCTCAACAATTTCCTCTAAAAGCTAAGAAATTTTTCTTTCCCTTACAAGGGGGAATGATGTAAGAGGAAGTAGATGTAATGGTTCAGGAAGAAAAAAAAAACAGTCTGATTTCAATTTCTTTTATTTCAGTGCGAGGCCATGATGACTTTGTCAAAGTGTGGTAAGAATTTCAGGACTGTATGAAAATGAATTTCCTTAAGCTATAACTGATGAGTCTATCTCAGTGGTAGAGAGAGGGGGAAGTTAGTGAAAGAAAAACGAATGCATGGTAGCTACTGATTAAAAAAATGTGACTATCTTTTCAACAGCAAAGTGAATTTAGCCTCTGCTTGACTAACTTGTGTCAGATGAAAACATGGTCCTAATTAAGGGTTAAATTATTCATTTAAGTTGAAATTAATTTTAAATTAAAATATAAAACTGGTGGTAAAGAGGAGCATTTTAGTATGCAGACCCTGCAGCCCCCTACACACAGAGCAATATCGCCAATTCCCAGCTGTAAATACCAACTAACAACTTGAGCCTGCACTGCCTGAGCCTATGACTTCCCAGCCCCAGAACTCCAGGCCTGACAGGGCCTATCTCCCTGCACAAGGTCAAAGCAACTCTTCATTTGCAAACTGACTCACACTCCCTCACACTCTGCTTTTTGTGCTCTGAACAGAGGAAGGATGCTTTGAGGCAAGGCTGGAGCATCACAACCCACTGGAAATGGATATCCACATCCATGACACGGGGTGTTTCCAGCATCCACCAAATGATTGTTTCCTTCCTTTGTTCCTCTGCTCTTCACTAAAACAGCCCAGGTTGAAATGTCACTATGGCATTAATCCACAGCATTTAGGAAATAAGGGAATTCAGTCATAAACCTGTACAGCTCACAGATAGTAGGTGTTAACTAGACACATAGTGGGCAACCCTGGGACAAACCTCCTGTCCCCTGCAGAGAGAACAGGGAAACGTCCCCCATGTGTGTGGTCACTGTTAGAGGGGCTTTGCAAACTATTCCCACGATCACCTGTGGGAATGACATACCAAGGAGCAGCAGCAGAGGTCCTTAGGCTGGACCTGAAGCCCCAGGATGACCTTTGGCTCATCCCAATGCCCACATCCAATCTTGCATCTTTGCACTGTTCTCTAGCCCCTTTTAAAAGTGTTTCCATAGCTCTTTTTTCCTCCCTTATTCACTAAGGCACCCTGCTCAGGAGTAAACCATACTTTCTAATGCAGGTTTCCTGCGAAATCCCTCAGAGCACTGAAATCATCTTCAGGAGTTCTCACTGTTTATTAATGTATGAAAAGCCACATAATTTATAGGGTTATATGTATGTATATATGTATGTATGTATCATCCTCTCTCACTCTCTCTCCTGGGCCTCTAGGTACCTTCTTGTATATGAACCTAGCCCAAATAGGGTTCTAAAAATTACAGTGTATATTTGGTTCATATTTCCACTGAACTTCAGGCTCTTGTCGTCAGATCTGAATAAATAGTAAGACAACATTTAAGTAAGTAGGTCTCAAAACTAAGTACTACTCCTTACAGTAGAAATAGGAATATCCCCAG